ATAGCTCTGCGCCAAGCCTGCACTGCCGAAGGGCTCATACCGTACACAGCTGCATCATACTGAACTTTTGCATAACATCCTCGATGTATCACACGCCGTGCTGCTGCTCTGCCTGTTCTGCCTGCTCCAATAAGCTTCCGAGCTCGGCCGACTTGCTTCCAAGCTGCTTTGCGACGTGCTGCTGCTTTAGGCCGTGCTCGCATGTTCGTGCCTCTGTCCGTGCCTAAGTCGACTGCTTTCTGTGCTACAGTGATCTTAATGTTGTGCTGTGCTAACTTGCGCGCAATGTCCTTTGCCAATTCAGGGTCCCCCGCGATGATCTTGCTCTTGCTAGCGATACTCAAGTGCGCCTTGTTGCAGAGCCTGCCCAAGAGAACCCCAGCCTTGGTGAGCGCCTGGGAGAGGAACCTGACGGACCCATACGCATACTGAGTGATATCATCAACCCAAGACGACGTGTTGACCGACGGTGAGTATTTGTTGTGCACAGCTTCAAGGATACTGTAGAGATAAAATCTTCCAAAATCGACCCCTCTACGAGCTCCTGCGATGATGGACTTGTTGGCCTGGACTGGCGGTGAAAAGCATCCTGCTTCACGAAAAACTCGAACTATGAGATGAGCCAGCCCTTCCATCAGCAACATCAAAGGCGGAAAATCCAGGGCCAAGCCCTGCTCGAACAGGCGCTCGTACTCTAACGAGTCGTAGAAACTGTCGATGTCCCACAGAAGACTGGCCGAGACGGTGTGCTTGGGCCCCATGCGGATGGCTTCGTCAGAAAAGGCTCGTAGAAGTCCGACACGCAAGCAGGAAGAGCCTCTGATCGCATTGTCCCACTTGCCAGCCATCTGCTCGACCCATGCGGAAGGAAAAATCTGTCTGGCTGAACTCCACAAGCGTATCAAATCTGGGATAAGACCAATTGAACGATCAGTGTCAGCGCCTTTCCTCAAAAGAGCAACAATAGCAGTCTGAATCTGCCAAGGCCAGCCTCCTCGACGTTCGCATTCATTCAAAAACCACGTCAAGTGAACAATGCCAGCTGGAGGTAAATACTTGAGGGTACCGCCCAGTTGCTCAATGCCTGCGGCCTTGCTGGAGTTGATCTGCTTGACTGTGATGGCGATCTGCTCAGGCTCCAGAGCTGGCCAGGGTTGTGCTGCTGCCTTAGCGTGAGCCCGTCGAAGGAGTTGGAACAGCCTTTGCACTGACAAAATTTTGGAAGCCCACTTGCATTGCCAGAGCTGACTCTTCTGGACCAAAATATCCTTGAGGCTCGTGGAACTTCCTTTCAAGTCGCGGTACTCTGTCTCGACACGCGTCTTGGGCTTGACGCACCGATGTAACTTCCCACAGCCTTGAGCAAAATAATCGAATCCACGATTGAAAAGCGCTGTAGCTCTCCAAGGCCGCCTTACGCTCCAGAGCTGCTGCGATCTTATCCGCTGATGCTCCCATCGTAATGAGAGCCTCTCTCGGTAGATTGTGAATGTTAAGAAGTGTACTGGCCCAGTCCTGCCGATCTCTGCCTATTACCTGGCCGAAACCTGAAAGTGGCATGTCAGCTGGAGCCTGTGCCAACCTGTGCACCAAGAAGTCTTTTCTCGACGCTGGCCTGACTTGTTTTTTCGAGACTGGGCTGAGCAAAACGGGGGGAGGAGGGGAGGAGACACCACCTGCTGCAGTAGAGAACTCCTCGAAGTGCAGCTGGGTCCCACTAGAGACTCGAATAAGCTCCTGAATCCAACCAGAAACTTGCAGCCACCACTTGATTGACGTATCTGAATGCGCTCTTGTTGGCGCGGGTGCTGATATCGGCAGAGTTTTGAATTCCCTCGCAACTCCACGACCTTTGCAATGCCAAGCTCGATCTGGTGGTACCTCAAGTACACGACACAGAAAATTCTCAAAAATGAACGTAAATCTTCCGTAGTCTGATCCCAGCTCGATAGCAGTCTCGGGATCATACTTATACGAGAGGCTGTCTTGTATCCAATCTGGCGGTAAGGTCCACTCACAGTGCTGGAGGGTGTTGTTGTCAATGGTGGCCCAAAGCTTATCCAGATCTTCAACTCTCCACTCTAAATACTTGGCTGGGTGGCAGTCCTGAACTACAGGCTTGACCTCAGAAATCTTGTGGTCATAAATATGCGACTGCCACATCTGCTGAAGCGCCTCGGAGTCGAAGTCGAAAAAATCTCGATGTAGAAACTTGCGAACCTCCTCTGGGTATTTCGTGCACGAGTTGGCCTGCTGAGGTTGCGCCAAAATCTCCTCGTCTTCAGACTCGGGTTCAGGAAGTTCTTGTTCGAGATCCTCCGAGTGTTCCTGAGCACGTTGTTGCCGTCGTCGTTCCAACTCCAATTTCTTTCTCGACCGTTTACTGTTGGGGTCACCCTTTAGCTTGGTGGGTAGCGGTGGCAGGAACATCTTCGGTAGGTCCAAGACTCCTCGACGCGCAGACTGTTGTGCAGAGACATTCAACTCCAAAACCATGCCGTAGTGGTCACCACCCTCAGCATCCAACTGGATCGCATCATGAAAAAGTGTAGAAGTCCTGAGAAGCCACAGCATAGTCAATGATGCGCTGCCCCTTGCCCCTCGTGGACGTGTGGGTGATGCCAGGTGGGTGATAAAAATGCCCATTCCACTTACGGATCCAAGAGGCCATCTCCAGAGGGGTAGCGTTGAAATCTCCCATGATGATCCAAGGCCCCGCATGATTGTCCAACAGCGCCGAAATAGTGAGAAGCTTTGAGACATTGATGGGTGCTTCCAACCCCACTGAGACAGTCAAATAAGCACCACTCACTAGCAGCGGGACTCTGGCGATCTTCCACTCGACCGCCACCACATCTTTGAAGGACAAGGGCCCCGATGACTTCTGCTTGCTGTTGACGTCAACTAAACCGATCGTGTTGTCAGGGTCGTCCGACAAGTGGCGATAAGAGGACCAACAATGATGCTGACGGATACCCAGAACGATGCCACCTGCCTTCTTCACGTAGGTCGTGGGGTATGCGGGAGAAACAATACCTTGCCATTTGTGTTGCTTCAGCGTGCTCAAAATATCCTGAGTGTCGCAAGCCAAAACGTGCGTCTCGGGCATGATGATGATATCAACATCACTCTCTGCAAAAAGCTTGGTGGCTTTGTGCCCCCACACAGAAAGATTGTGCAATAGCAATCGTCGAACTGCTGGTGCCGCATTCTGAGATTGCCTCGGCCTCGGGTACAGACGAATCGTGCTACCCGCACTTTTGTGGAGCCACGGCAGCGTCAGCGTAGGTCGCCGAAGAGGGCGGGTTGCCCCTGGCTTCTGCCAGAACCCGCTGCACTCGCTCCTGGGGCGCCTTCGCCTTCGGGGGCACCTCGCTTGCCGCCGCCTCCTGGGGCTGCGAGGGAGGCGCTGCTGCAGCAGCGGCAGGCGTGGCTGCTGCCGAGGCCGCGGCGCGCTGCCCAGCAGAGGGTGCTGCCTGGGCATCGCCTGCGGCAGGGGCAGCAGGCTGGTCTCCACCTGCAGGCTGCTCCTCAGCACGATCTTTACCTTCGGCAGCTGCCTCGCCTTGAGCTCCCACGCGTCGACGCTTGGAGGCCATGCGAGCCTTGAACTCCTTGAACTGTTGTCTGCGAGCACCCAGTTGAGCAGCTGCTGGGCCAATCGCTGCACTGATCGCCTGCTTGATCTCCTGGGCCAACGAAATCTTGTGCTTCTGCCAAGCCTCGATGTCTTCCTTTGCCCAGTCCAGATCGGCGAAGTCGAAGGCCTCGCCGTCCTCGAACTCGAACAGTTGCCCAAGCTCGTCGCCCTCGTCGAGAAAGCTGGACAGGTTGAGCTTGGGCTTGGGATCGGCGGCAGCGGCGACACGTGCAGCACCCTCTCGACTCTTGAGGCGCTGGAGGTCTTGCTCCAACTGCTGCTCATGGGCCAGCCTGGCGTCGGCTGCATCTTGCGCAGCTTGCTCCACAGCCGCCCGAGCCCGTGCCAGCCAGTCGGTGCATTCCTGCTCGTGAGCGATCGCCTTGGCAAGAGCTTCATCGGCCTTGCGAGCAGCCACTGCCAGCCGCTGTGCCTCTCTCTCACGCTCGAGGCTGGGCTTGACTGGGGCGGCGGCAGCTGGCGGCGGAACGTCCTCAAACTCCTTCTTGAGCGCCGCCAAGCGCTCGCCATGCTGCGGGGCGCGGCGCAGCAAAGCCTCGAACAGCTGGTCGGTCGAGGGAGCGAACGGGTTGGTACTGCCGTCGCCGAGGGTGGCCGCCGTGGCTGCCGCCCCTGGAGGAGTCCACTGCCCTGGGGGCGGCCGCACGAAGGGGCTTGGAGGGTGTCCTGGCTGTGCTGCGCCAGGTAGTGCGGGCGGTCCACGGTTCCACGACCCTGCATCACGAGGTGGTGGTTGGCCCCCGACAGGACGTAGAAGACCTTCGCACTGCCAGCATGTCGTGTGCCGCTTCCAATTCCACTTGTAGCGGCAACCATCATGAGGACAAGACACGTAGCCACGCACCGCCACATGTTTCCCCATGCCGTCAGGCGGGACGAGAGGAAGCTCACCTGCGGGCTGCAGGAGGCACACGGAGAGTTGAACAAAGCTGTCGGGCTCAAAGGCCCTGGCACTAGCCGCGGACTAGCGGTATCCACTTGTTCCCCTTTGGAACAAAGCATCTTGAGCCAAAATGGCTACGGAAGAGGAGGAGGAGGAGGAGGAGGAGGAGGAGGAGGAGGGGGACGAGGAGGAGTAGGAAGAGGAGGACGAGGAGGAGGAGGACGGCGAGAACGAGGAGGACGATGATTAGGAGGAGGCAGACGAGAAGGAGGAGGACGAGAAGGAGGAAGAGGAGAAGGAGGAGGACGAGAAGGAGAAGGAGGAGGAGGAAGAGGAGGAGGACGAGAAGGAGGAGGAGGAGGAGGAGGAGGAGGAGAGAGGAGGAGGAGGAGGAGGAGGGAGGAGGAGGGGGGGGAGGATGGCGGGCGGGCGTGCGGTGGGGGGGTGCGGGCGCGCCGTGCAGTTGTCGCCCCGCGCGCACGCCACCCAGGGGTTGACCAGCGCCTGCGACAGCGCCAGCCTTCGGCCGACGGGGGAGTGGGCGTCGAGGCAGGAGGGGCGAGGGGGGACGAGGAGGGGGGGACGAGGAGGGCGTCGAGTCAGGAGGGGGAGGGGCGTCGAGTCAGGAGGGGGGGGGGAGGGCGTCGAGGGAGGCGGGAGGGGGGAGGGGGGGGGACGAGGGGGGGGGGACGACAGGGGGGCGGCTCCGGGGCGGGGGAACGAGAGGGAGGGAAGAGGGGGGGGAGGGGGGGGGGGACGACGATGGGTGGGGGTGGGGGGGACGACACAATAGGTAGGAAAGGGGAAGAGGGGGGTGGGGAGGGGCGACACTGGTGGCGAGCGAGGGGGGCAAGTGAGAAGGACGCGGCCTTCTTAGAAATCGGCAGGACTTCTCAGAGAAGCCCTCGCGCCTTCTGAAAAGTTGTTGTGTCTCCGGGGAAGGCTCAGCGGCTCAGAACACTTCTCACAAGGCTTTGGGACTGCCGAGCCTTCTGAGAAGGCCCGACTTCCTGGCCTTCTGAGAGGGAACGCCCCTTCTCCCTTCCACCCCTCGCTCGCCGCCGAGACAGGGGGGATCGATCGGGGGTAGAGAAGCGAGAGGGAGGGAAGAGGGGGAAGGCTGACGATAGGCGGGGGGAACATCGAGCTCGAGTCGGCGATGCATCGCCACTATGAAGGGAAACTGGGACACACAAATAAATACACACAAATAAAATGATTCCCCATATTTTCCAATATTTTCTGGGAATCGCAGATTAATTGTGTCTGTGTGTTTTTTCCCCTCCTGACACTACATCGGCGACAGGTCCCCGATGGCGAAACCGCAGACTCCCGGGTGGGGTGGGCTGGACTTCCTGAGCCGATCTCGCCCGAACGTCGCCCCCTGGGAGGGGAGACGTAAGACCCGGGTACGGGGGACTCGGAAATCCCCGACGAGGTCGTCAAAAAAATGACGAGGCCGAGCCTGCATTTTGACGAGGCCTCCCGCTGCAGACCTCCCACGAAGCTCCTCCTCGTCAAAATCCGAGGCGCGGTCGTCAAAAAACGATGGCGAACCCGAGTCCCGGCAAACCCGGGTCTTACGCTCCCCCGACCCTGGGAGGGGCTCGGGGAAATTGTCAGATGCGTGGGCAGAGGCACGGTGCAGGGACGCGTTTTGAGTGGACTGGGCGTCTTCGGCCCGCGAGTTCTCGATGCGCTTACAAGGGTACGTGTTCGACTATGGTAGCAGGAAGCTGCTCAAAACGCATTATTACCTGAGATGCAAACAGCACATACAGTCGACACGTATCAAAAGATGCGCGGTAAATGTGCAAGGGCCTTGGAGGGCCACGTTAAGTGTTTCGAGCGAGATTCAGATTGGCCATCGACAGTCACTAAGGATGGGCCGAACGGGCAAGGATGCCAGAGTACCCTGGGGAAGGTTGCCCGTCATTGCTATGCGGGTTGACTGTAATTGAATCGGCCGACCCTGTCGGCGTGTGAGGGGCGTGTCCGTTCGAGTCGGGCTTTTCTGTTGGAGTCGTCGTCTCCATCCTCCAGATGGCCCAACACGGCCCAAGAGGCCCCCAAGAGGTCTCCAAGACGGCCCAAGAGGCCTCCAAGAGGGCCTCCAGGAAGGCCCGAAGAGGCCAAAAGCATTGATTGTCCTTTGGTTGGTTGAAGGATGTTGGCATCTGCTTATTGTCGGACTTCCGACAGCCCGAGACGGCCCAAGAGCCTCCAGATATCGCCCCAAGATCGCCCAAGAGGCCTCGAAGATTCCAAGATGGCTCCAGAAAGACCCAAAATGCCTCCAAGACAGCCCCAAGAGGGCACAACGACTGTCCAACAGGCCTCCAAGACGCCCAAGATGGCCTCCAAGACGGCCCCGAAGCACCCCAATGAGGCCCCCAAGTCGGCCCAGAGAGGCCCCCAAGACTGCCCAAGGTGGCTCCAAGATGGCCCAAGACGGCCCAAGGGGCCACCAAGATGGTTCCAATACGGCCCAAGAGGCCCCCAAGAGGGCCTCCAGGACGGCCTCCTGGAAATCCCAGAGAAGCCATAATCATGAATTGTCCTTTGGTTGTTTGAAGGATGTTGGCATTTGCTTCTTTCCAGCCTTCCGACGGCCCGAAACGGCCCAAGAGCCGCAAAATTCTCCCCAAGATCGCCCAAGAGGCCTCCAAGATGGCCCCAGAAAGGCCCAAGAGGCCCCCAAGACAGCTCCAAGAGGGCCCCAAGATGGCCCAAGAGGCCTCCAAGACGCCCAAGATGGCCTCCAAGACGGCCCTAGACTAGAGCACCCAAAGAGGGCTCCAAGTCGGCCCAGAGAGGCCCCCAAGTCGGCTTTCGACGGCGTCAGACGGGTCAGGAATACCCTAAGACGGCCAAAGGAGCGACCGAGAAGACCCCACAGGCCCTAAAGAGGCCCAAGGAGGCCCTCAAGATGCCTCCAAGAGGCTCCAAGGAAGCTTCCAGGTGGCTCTGAGAGTGCCCCCAGAGGCTCCCAAGATGCCCCCCTCCTCCTCCTCCTCCTCCTCCTCCTCCTCCTCCTCCTCCTCCCCCTCTCCTCCTCCTCCTCCTCCTCCTCCTCCTCCTCCTCCTCCTCCACATGTTCCCCCAAAGGCTTCCACGGCGGCTCGGGGAACACATGGTCCGATAGCTCGGCAGAGCTCTGGCCACAATGCTCGGCCACATGGGCGATTCCCAAAGGCAGGGGGCGGCGGTGATTCGCCGTAGGTTTCTTCGATCCGCCACCGTGCCCCTGGGTACGGAGTGGGCGTGCCCTCTGATCCTTTGCCTAAACCTCTAAGCCTCAATCCTCAGCCCCGAAGTCTTTAAGGGGCCCGGACCCCAAATTGCCAAATCTGTGTTGGCTTGCCGCGGTTCCCCTGGGCTCCGGCGCATCTTCTCGCGTGACTTTTTCGAGCCCAAGAGGGCCCCACAACGGGCCAAGAGGGCCCTGAGAGACCCCCAGGACGCCCCAAATCGGCCCAAGACGGCCCAAGAGGCCTCCGAGACGTCCCCAGAGAACCCCACGACTCTTCCCAAGCGGGCTCCGAGAGGCCACAATCATTGATGTGCCATACGTGTTTCATCAATGATCTTGGGGCCCTCGACTTTTCGAGCTCGCGACGCTCCAAGACGGCCCAAGAGGCCCTCAGGACCGCTACAAGACGACCCAAGAGGCCCCCAGGTAGGCCACAACGCGGCGCAGGATGGCCTCAAGGCAACCACAACACGAGTCTAAGAGGCGGATCGCGAACCGAAAATCAGAACCTTCCACCCCATGATGCCCCCACGAGGCCTCAAGGAGGCCCCAAAAGGCCCCCAAGAGACCCCCAAGAGGCCCCGAAGACGCCCCCAGAGGCTCCAGAGAGCCCCGAAAAGGCCCCTGAAGACCTCCAGCGATATCCCAACAAACATCCTAGAGGCCTGTGACCCACCACCCAGGCACAGTGGCGGGACGGGCCGAAGGCTATTGGACAGATGTGCGTGTGTGTATGTATGACAAACTGGTGTGGGGAATGCGAAGCATTGTTGGGCGAACGAGCTACAGGCCCAGAAACGTACACCAGTGTGATATGACACATCGTAGCTCGCCTGCGTCCACCCTACCCATATTTGCACGCACTAGACACTGACCCCTGGGGGCATCCTAAGAAACATTTACTTGAGCTGAAACAGCACATCGGGACACGTTTTGCCTCTCCACTTGGTCAACTCAGTCCTGGCCGCACATCCTTTGCAACGGGCGCACCTCCGACCACCGTCGGAAAACTTGAGGAAGCAGAAGGAGGAGCAGAAACCTACCAGGCACGACGCTGGGTGAGAGAAGTCAGCTGGTCTGGCTGGCACGCATTTAGGAAGGAAAGCAAACCTACCTCGCTTTTGACCACCCTCGCTTCCACGAGGTACCAAGCGATGCCAAACTACGGCCTGTACTGGTCGGGCCGCTCGACGAGGAGGCGCGTGGTATGACTTGGTCTTGCCTGGAAGCGAAAGCGGGGTCGGTAATCCACGCTCCGAGAGGAGCAGGAACCTGCGAGGCACGACGCGGGTTGAGAGAAGTCAGCTTCGACCCCTCCTCCTCCTCCTCCTCCTCCTCCGCCTCCTCCTCCTCCTCCTCCTCCGCCTCCGCCTCCGCCTCCTCCTCCTCCTCCTCCTCCTCCTCCTCCTCCTCCTCCTCCTCCTCCTCCTCCTCCTCCTCCCTCTTCTGCCTGCGGCAGTGGGGGTGGACGGCGCTGGCTCTCGACCCGTGGCAGCCCGCAGCGCCCGAGCCCCGAGCCCCTGGCAGCGAAGAGCAGAGGCAGGCGCGGCGGGTTGCCGCGCGGATCCTGCCGCGTACCGTCGGGGCGTCGACCTAAGGAACCCTGAATAAGGAACGAGGCCCCTTTTCCTCATATCTCGCCCTCCCCTCCCCCCTCCCCTCCACGCTGGGCCTAAAAAGAGGCCCCAAACGGCCTTACCGAGGCTCCAAGAGGCCACGAACGCGCAAGCAAACGCCTGCGATGGCACAATACGGGCCGGCGGAATGAGCGAAGCGATTAGATAAGGAACGAGGCCCCTTTTCCTCATGAGTGAAACATCGGTGTCCCATGGAGAACCTCGGGAAGACCCGAGGCAAACTGTGAAACAATCAAGGAACACCGAGCCCCTCCCCAACGAATAAGGAACGAGGCCCCTTTTCCTCATATCTCCACCCACCAGACCACCCCAGCCCAACCCGAAGGCGCAAATTTACCCTCGATGTCCAGTGGGGGGGGGGGCGGGGAAACATCGAACAAAACACATGTGGAACCCTTACTTACCCCCCCAACCCGACGTTCGGGTCTTCGGGTTGGGTTGGGGTGGTCTGGTAGGTAGTCATCATAAACTAAACATCGATGTCCCATGGAGAACCCCAGGACGACCCGAGGCAAACTGTGAAACCATCAAGGAACACCGAGCCCCTCCCCAACGACAAGGGTTCCTTCTTCAGCGCCCCGACTGCACTGAAGGGGAACTGGAACACACAAATACATACACACAAATAAAACATCCCCCATTGTTTCACATATTTTCTGGGTTTGTGTCTTCCCTCTCACTTCCCATATTTTCCTATCTTGTCTGGGGGATCGACGATTAACTGTGGCCGTGTGTTTCTTTCCCTCCTGATGTACTGCGCTCGGAATGCCGCGCGCAACCCATCGCGGTGGCCAGGGGCCACCGCCGGGAGCGAGGGCGGCGGGGGGGGGCCGAGGGACGGCGACGGCGAGGAGGGAGGAGGACGACTGGGAGGCCCAGAAATTGGCACCAACACCAACACAGGGGGCTGTCTCCACAGGGGGAAGATGATCCTCGATTTCGGTGTTGGTGGTAATAGTTCGGTCACTTTGGAAGCCAGAATATGACCACCATCACCGAGATCGGGATCCTCTTCCCTCGGTGGAGGCACACCGCCGAAATTGGTGTTGGTGTCAACCTCTAGGCCTGCGAACGACGGCGCCTTTTCTCGGGCTCCTTCTGGAGGAGCTGGTCGATCAGCTCCTGCGCCTCCTTCGAGCAGCCGGCGATGGGGGCCTCGCGATGCCAGGCGCCGCGTTCGTCGGTCGTCGGTCGTCGTTAGTCGTCGTCGTCGTCGTCGTCGTACTGAACGACACTGTCGGTTCCGTCGTCATCATCATCGTCGTTTTTGCCGTCGTCGGTCTTCGCCATCGTCAACGTCATCGCCATTTCCGTGATCATTCTCGTCGTTATCGTCATCTTCGCCATCGTCGTCTGTCGGGCGTCGATAGTTGGTCGTCACTCGTCCGTCGTCAGCGTCGTCCTCGCCGTCGCCGTCGCCGTCGCCGTCGTCAACATCACACATCGGCGTCATCGTTCGCTTTGCGTTTTTGAAGGGAAAGGTGAACATTCGGTGCGGTCGGGCTTCGAAATTCGCGCGGCGGGCCGTGATTAGCGGGCGAAGTACGGCATGCACCCGTTTTTGTTCCGTCCTCGCGGGGCGCCTGTCCCAGGAAGGCTGGAACGTTTACACCTTGACGTGCCAGCGTAAAGGTACAATTTTCCCAGCCGCCTTGGGACAAGCGTCCCCGACGGCGAAACAATTTGTCATGCCGTTATTCGCCCGTGAACGCGGGCCAGGAAACCGCAACGGGTTACAACATCATGTAACCCGTTTCGTCTGACTTCCGCGCCCCCTGCGGGCGGCCCCCGCAGCAGTACCCGCGTGTCGGCCCCTCCCCCTTCCCGCGTTCCCTTCGCGCGTTGTCGTGGCCCCGTAGGGAGCTGCATTGCAGGCGGTGCTCACAACGGCGGTACTCACCACAACAGCACATGTAGAAGAATACTAAGCTGCACAAACAAAAACTTTTGGCGCTCCTCGCGGGTCGATCGGATCTGCGCAAGGCCCATTCCCTGGCGCGCGGAACGCGCTAGGGGGGGCGCCGGGGGGGCGCCCAGCGCGGACCCCAGAAATCCGCGCGGAGCGCCAAACTCTTCTGTCCATGGCGCTGTCTCTCTTCTTCTTTGTATGGCTGGGCCTCTAGGAGCATGGGGTGTACAACAAATACGAATATGGACATGCCTGTGCATTATGGGTATGATTACGTATTTACAGCCTAGTGCTTGTACGAGCTTGACGGGAAATCTACTTGTGAACTCAAATTGCCAGGACGGACTCAACCATCCTATGAGTGTCGTACCCCTAGCTCCATCAAGGCCACAACACGTTGACGATTGGCACCACACAAATTGACGAGGATGGAGAGTATACATGCTGCTGACGTGTGTGCGAGACCCGGGGCGAAGACGAAGCGAATGCGGCCGATGACGAAATATGAGTGAAGGATAACGGGAACAAAAACAGCGGTGCAGACATCAGACATTCGAAACGCCTTTGCTTGACCACTCAACCGAAGGTGCACACGTATGCCCCAGTCCCCGACATGAATCCATCGCGAGCCATTCAACCTCAGAACGCGATTCGCAAGCTGCATTCGAGCGAACGCGCTTGGACGAGGACCGCTCCGTCCGAATGAGGCGAGTCCGGGTGATCAGTGCAGGGGAGCCATGCGCAGACGCACACACAAAAGATAACACGCGCAAGCACATACACACACACACACACACACACACACACACACACGCACGCACGCGCGCGCACGCACGCACGCACACACGCACACGCACGCGCGCGCGCGCACGCACGCACGCACGCACGCACGTCCTCCTGCCCTCTGGCACGCCGAGGCGTGGCGGGACGACTGTCGGTGGCGTCCACGAACGGGGCGTCCGAGAGAGGCGGGGGGGAGCAACTCATGGCCCGAGGCAGGTGCGCGGACGCATGAGGGGGGGAAGGGGAGGCGTTCAAAGATCAGGGGGACGTAAGACCTGGGTACAGGGGACTCGGAAATCCCCGACGAGGTCGTCAAAAAAATGACGAGGCCGAGCCTGCATTTTGACGAGGCCTCCCGCTGCAGACATCCCACGAAACTCCTCCTCGTCAAAATCCGAGGCGCGGTCGTCAAAAAACGATGGCGAACCCGAGTCCTGGCAAACCCGGGTCTTACGCTCCCCCGAAAAGAACCAGAGGGGGCCATGACGTCCAAGGAGACATCATGGCCCCTGCCCACGATGCCCATCCCCCCGGTGAGCACCCCTCTTGGCCGCCTCCAGGACACGGGCTGTCTGGTGTTCTACGGGCCACCCCCCTCCCCTGCCCGTCGCCCCCCCTCGCGAGGCCATTGTCCTTTCTGTGTCCTTTCTGTGAACACACTACAGTAAGGGCCCGACCACAAGAAGCCTTCCACAAGAAACCCAACCCCGAGACCCCAGGACGCCCCTTGATCTCTGGTGTGGGAACGCCACGCTTTCCATAGCAAAGCCGCCCAGACCCAAGAAACGCACTGCACCCTGGAGGCGAGCAGGGTGTTTCCGAAGGGGCCCTGGGACACACAAATAAATACACACCAATAAAAGGATTCCCCGTATTTTCCCATAGTTCCTGGGTCTGTTGTCTTCCCCCCCACTTCCCATATTTTCCCATACGTTCTGGGGAATCGACGATGAGTTGTGTCTGTGTGTTCCTTTCCCTCCTGAATTTCTTGGCATGGGTCTCCACTGTATTTTGGTGTCCGTTCCATGGGAGCCTGCGTGGCCCCCGGCACTGTCCAATTTGGGCCTGATTTGGACCGGATTTGGAACACATTTGGACCGGATTTGGACCAGACTTGGACTGGATTCGTGGGGGCTATAGAGCACGAGGAGGGGGAGGGGGAACATGAGGGGAGAGGAGGAGCAGGAGGATGGGCCAAATGTGGCCCGCGACGCTGTCCACATGCAGGAAAAGCTGATTTCAATGTCGCCGCCCAGGGCTCCCATGAACAGACGTCGAACTGTATGGATCCGCGCTCCTGAGGCCGCGGCCCCGCGCACAGAAAACGGATCTGCGCCCGCGGGCTTCCAGGGCGGCCCGGGCAGGCCACGAGGGGCCGCCAGGACGATCCGGGACGCCTCCAGGACGGCGCCAAGGGAGGCCCAAGCTTGGGCGTGGCTTAATGGGGGGGTCACAAATGGGGGGGTCAAAAAAGGTCCCCTTTCGTGCCCCTTTCGGGCCCCTTCGGAGCCCCAGGGGGCTCGTTTAGGCACCGTTTGGGTACCTTTTCGGACCACCCTCGCCACCCCCCCATTTATGACCCCCCTATTACGCAACGCCCAACAAGCGTACCCAAGGTGCCCCCGGGGATCCAAGAGGGTCGCAAGAGGACCTCTCAGCAGGTCCGAAGGAGCCCAACTTCTGCGTGGCGGCCAACAAGGGGCCCACAACTGCTCGAGAGAGAGGCCCAAGACGGCCTCGGAGGCTCCCGACGCGGGCCCCAGAGGGCCCAAGACTGCCCCAAAGGACCCCAAGGCTGCCTCACAGCATCCCACGACAGCCTAGATCAGCTCCAGAAGAGCTCCTCAAGAAAGGTGAAACGTGTCACATGAAACGGCCTTTCTCTTCTTCATCATCCTTCTGCTCCTGCTCCACGTCCTTCTCCTCGTCATCATTATCCTCAGCAAGATCATGCACGGCTCTTCCAAACGTTTGGGCACGAGATATCACACGTGAGGGCTCCCATGCCCCCTCGAACAATCGCCACCCATAAAGCTGGGCTGGCACGATGAAGGAACGTGCCGCAGGCAGCTGGATAAACACAGGCGTGCACACAACTGCTATATCACTTCCTTCACTGCTGCAGGACGCGCGGTTGACCCCACGGCCTTGTTGTAGTCACCCTCGATGATATCAAGTTCTTTTGCGAAGGGAACCTGGGGGCTTGATGCATGGGAGAAAACCGCTCACACGCACAAATTGCCCGCACCAACTTCCTCCAACATCCGCCAACATCTCGCATGTGGTTCTCGTTCGATCACAGTGGGGCGTGCCCAGTCGTCCTGAAAGCTCCAGGCAACTGCCGACGTGGTGGCACAGTCACGCAGAGATGCACCCACAGTCCTCTACACAAAACGCTCACCTGATTGTTCAACCACGAAGATGTCGCCCCAAGGATTTCGCAAAAGGACGACCGCTACGGCGCCGAGGACAATTCCTACTGTTTGTAAAAAAACTGTCAACAGAGAGGAGTATGGAGACACTGCCGCACCTATTCAGGGGAGAGCGCCCCAATGAATAAGAAAGCCGTTGACGCTTGAAACAGGCACCCCAAACAACTCTCCGGCAGAAGCCAAGCTCAGGTTGGGTTTCAGCATGGCGTACGTACCGCTGCATGTAAGCATCAACGTGTCAACTATCATCCTCGTAGTTGCCCTCCACCTCAACGTGTCTTCCATCTAAACGTCCTCCACCTCCGCACCTCCGCACTCTCGTTCCTGCCACAAGCAGGACTACTGTCGCTAGGCGCCCGTGAGGGCTGCGTTTGTTGTCAGGCCTCCTGGTGGAAGAGTGGTACCCCCGTATAGGTCTCCCCCTCCGCCTCCTCGCAGTGGCCCCCCTTTAGCATGGTGGATGGCACTAGTAGACTTGAGGGAAGCAAGTCCTGGTCACCGAGGCTTTCCCCAGGACCAACGTTTGCAGGCCGAACATCGTCATTGGACAGTCCAGGGGCCAAGAAAAGGCCAAACATCACAGAAAAGCTCGGGACGCCTCTGTCGGGTTGGACGAACATGGGGTCGGCAGAGTGGGGGGTTTGCCGAATCAGCTTGGAGAGCATTTTTTCTTCGGCGATGACGGGCGTCTTGGGGAGTTGATGGCGTAACGCCCCCCCCCCCGCAGTGTGGCTCTGGCACCACAGCCGCGCCCGCGCGCACGACGACGATGAGCGACGATCGACGAAGACGACGAGGACGCGAGCAGCATGTAGGTGGCGATCTGCCCCACAGCGCTTACGTACACCACAATGCTCGCGTGCACCACAACGCGCGTGTACACCACAGGGCCTGCGTACACCGCAACAGCCGCGTGCAACGCATCGCCTGTGTACACCGCAGTGCTTGCATGCACCACACGCCGGTGTACACCACAGCGAATGTGCACACCGCAGCAACCATGTGCAACACAGCGCCTGTGTACACCACAGTGCTTGCGTGCACCGCAGCCCCTTTGCACACCACAGCGCCTGTCTGCACCACAGGATCCGCGTGCAACGCAGCGCTGGTGTACACCACAGTGCCTGCGTACACAGGACAAGTAGAAGGAGCATTTCGGTGAGGATCTGCCGCGGACAGCTAAACGCCACGACAAGGAAGTGCTGATAATATAATGCGACGTTCTTCCCTCATCCCTCCTCCTCCTCCTCCTCGTCTTTCTCCACATCCTTCTCCTCCTCCTCCTCCTCCTCCTCCTCCTCCTCCTCCCCCTCCTCTTCCTTCTCCTCCTCTTCACCCTTCACCCTTGTCGCGCGGGTCGGCGCTACAGCGCACGTGCGCATCTCAGCGTGCAGCGCAGAATGAATGGTCTATTGAATCGGTCCGGTTGATTCTCAGACGGCCAATGTGGCTGCAGCCGCTGGACTCAAATGGGTGGAGTTAGGATGATGCGGGCGGACCCGTGAGGACTCGTACATTCCAGCGGCGCTCTTTCTTAAGCATTCCTTGCCAAATCCTCTATAAAACAATCGTTTTCTGTGAAGTCCACAAGCGCTCCATTTTGTCAGAAGGATTCCATAAAAAATTCTACGTGGCACCCCGGAACTGCGGATAAGAGTGAGGGGGCGGGCGCGGGCGACGAGGGCGTCGAGCCGGCGGATCTCGTGGCCCTCACCTTGGCTTGGGTCGCGGTGGGTCGCGGCTCTCCACCTCCACCTGGAAGGAATTCAAAAACAACCTGCCGCAGGCGACGAAAATTGATTTGTACGCTGAACGCGGTTTGGGTCGCGGGTGGGTCGCAGGTTCTCCACCTGGAACGAATGCAAAAGAAACCCGCCGCAAGCGCCGAAATTTCGGGTGGGTCGCGGGGTGAGTCGCGGGTGGGTCGCCTGGACGGGTGGGTCGCGGTGGGTCGCGGGTGGGTCGCGGGTGGGTCGCGGGTGGGTCGCGGGTGGGTCGCGGGTGGGTCTCGGGGTGGGTCGCCGGTGGGTCGCGGGTGGGTCGCCGATGCAAGGGAAACCTGCCGCAGACGCCGAAGTTTTGGCTTGTTCAGTGGACGTAGTTTGGGTCGCGGGTGGATCGCGGGCACCCCACTTCCACCTGGAAGGAATTCAAAAACAGCCCGCCGCAGGCGCCGAAAGTTTGATTTGTACACTGAACGCGGTTTGGGTCGCGGATGGGACGCAAGTGCTCCACCTGGAACGAATGCAAAAAAAACACTGCAGGCGCCGAAAATTTTGGGTGGGTCGCGGGGTGGGTCGCGGGTGAGTCGCGGGTGAATCGCGGTGGGTCGCGGTGAATCGCGGGTGGGTCGCGGGTGGGTCGCGGGTGGGTCGCCGGGGGGAGCTCGGGGTGGGTCGCGGGTGGGTCGCGGGTGGGTCGCCGGGGGGGTCTCGGGGTGGTTCGCGGCCGGGTCGCGGGGTGGGTAGCGGGTAGGTCGCGGGGTGGGTCGCGGGGTGGGTCGCGGGGTGGGTCGCGGGTGGGTCGCGGGGTGAGTCGCGGGTGGGTCGCGGGTGGTCCTGGGGTGGATCGCGGGTGGGTCGCGGGGCGGGTCGCGGGTGGGACGCCAGTTCCACTTCAGTCACGCACCAGGGACAGTGAATGTCCGTTCGGTTCAGCCGCCTCACTTTGATACGCAACAGTGGTACTCTGTTGCACACGGCTGCCGTGGCGCACACAGGCGCTATGGTGTACACAGGCGCTGTAGTGCACGCAGGCATTGTGGTGTACACTTGTACTGTGTTGCACACGGCTGATGTGGTGTATCCAGGCGCTGTGGTGTAGACGAGCGTTGTGATGCCCGCAGGCACTGTGGCACAGACTGGCGCTGTGTTGCGCGCGGCTGCTGTGGTGCACATAAGCGGCGGGCGAGGTGTACACAGGCGCTGTGGTGCACGCGCGCACGGTGGTGTACACAGGCGTTGTGGTGCAGATCGCCACCTACATGCTGCTGCTACCCGCCCTCGGTCATTCATAGGCATTCCCAAACGCCGCCGGTGCGAGCCGTGACGTCGTTGCCCCCCTCCCCTCCCCCCAAATGATGGCCGTCGCCGACCCGGAATTTTTAAACGGCTCCAGCCACGTCCGCGCGCAAGACGACGATGGGCGACGACCGACGAACGACGAGCAACAAGCGACGGGCGACGAGCGACGAGCGACGACCGACGAGCACGACGACGACGACGACGACGACGACGACGACGACGACGACGACGACGACGACGACGACGACGACGACGACGGCGGCGGCGGCGGCGGCGGCGGCGGCGGCGGCAGCGACGACAACGAGCGACGAGCACGACGACGACCACGACGACGACGACGACGACGACGACGACGACAACTGCCGACCAGACTCCTATGCGGATTCCTATGCGGACACCTATGTCGATCCCGATGCGCACGGCGGCACTGTCCGGATCGCATGGGGGGGAATCGTTAGGTCCTAGGGAGGGGGGGGGGGCGGGTGGCATGACGCCCGTCATGCCCAAAGCAATAACGAAACACTCTCCTACGTGGCTGATGTCCTGGCGCCTCCTGGCGCCAGGAGCCGGGAGGCGTCAACGCATGGAGGAAACGCGCACGGCGGCAGGGCAGAAAACCAGCTGCAAGCGGCAGATTTCGCCAACCCCCCCCTCCCCTATCTTGGCGGCGCGCCCTGTCGGGGAGACGTAAGACTCGGGTGCGGGGGACTCGGGTTGGCCTGACGGGGCCATCATAAAAATGACGAGACCCAATATGAAATTTGACGCGAACTCGGGCTACAAACATCCCACGAAAACTGGACCGTCAAAATCCTGGACGCGGTCGTCAAAAAACGTCGGCAAGCCCGAGTTCCGGCTTACTCGAGTCTTACGTTTCACCGATCCTGGAGGGAAGTGAAAGGGGGCAAAAAACGGCGGGTCGGGGATCTTATGAGCCGGATCGATCCAGACCCGGGTCAGTCAGGCCTTGCATAATCCTGCGCGATCCTGAAAGAATCCTGCACCCAAACCCGGGTCAATGCGAATGATCCTGCAGGATCCTGCAGGATCCGGCACCCGAACCCGGGTCAATGCGACCTCGGCCCTGCAGGATCCTGCAAGATCGGGCGACCTAACTGACCCCCGTTTGCATTGACCCCCATCTCAAGGCTCCCGAGGCGGGGCTTTTCAGAATCCCTCTGGCCTTCTGAGAAGCCGTCGATGTGATCGGACACGGCCCAGAGAACATCTCTCCGAGCCTTCTGAGAGGACCCGCCCCCTCTGCATTCCCCCCTGGGCTCGCCGCCGACTATCCCCCAAATTTCGTCCGCAGCCTCGCCGATACGGGGCGTTTCTGTTCGCGGATGCCCCACGTGGAGCGTATCCATGTGACCACATAAATATCAGAATGAGGCGGCTCAACCGAACGGTCATTCACTGTCCCCGGGTGCGTGGCTGAAAAGTAATTCCGCGATGCGGATTCTTGTTGTTGTTTGTTGTTTGTTGTTCGTTGTTGTCGTCGTCCCACCCGCCACCCGCCCCGCGACCCACCCGCGACCCACCCCGCGACCCACTCGCGACCCACCCCGCGACCCACCCCGCAACCCACCGGCGACCAAACCCGCGACCCACCCCGCGACCACCCCGCGACCACCCCGCGACCCACGCCGCGACCCGCCCGCAACCCACCCCGAGACCCCCATGGCGACCCACCCGCGACCCACCGACGACCCACCCGCGACCCACCCGCGACCCATCCCG